CCAAGAAAATAGACGCGATCAAGAATATCGCTCCTCCTACCAACAGAAGGAACTCCGTAGATTCATTGGACTAGTGAACTACTATCGAGACATGTGGATTAGACGATCACATGTATGGCCCCACTCGCTTCGTTGACTTCCAAAACAACGAAGTGGAAATTGGGAAGCCAACACGACAAGGCCTTTAGCCAGATGAAGAAGATCATCAGCAAAGAAACTTGCTCGCCTACCCTGACTTCAACGATACATTCGTTATCCACACGGATGCGAGTGATACTCAACTAGGTGCGGTAATTTCCCAGAAGGGAAAACCTATCGCGTTCTACAGCAGGAAGCTCACCCTGCTCAGACACGTTACACAGTTACCGAGAAGGAACTTCTCAGTATCGTAGAAACTCTGAAAGAATTCCGTAACAATTCTTCTAGGACAGAAGATCGTTGTACATACGGACCACAAGAATCTTACATGTAAGAACTTCAATACCGATCGCGTAATGCGATGGCGCTTATTCTGGAAGAATACGGCCTGAACTACGGTACATCAAGGCGAACAGAACATCGTCGCCGATGCGTTGTCGAACTTAACACTCTCAACAACGACGGTTCTTCAGAACAATGGACGCCAGCGAGATCGCGAGCTCATGGCTGCAGACGAAGAGGACTTCCCTAGTGAGTTCCCTCTCTCGTTCCCCGAGATCGAACATCGTCAGAAAGACGACAACGATATCAAGAAGCTCCTCAGGGACAAGCCAAACGACTACAAGAAGCAACTTTCCCAGAGGGGAAAGTCCTACGACTAGTAGTCAAGGACGAGAAAATCGTCGTACCTAAAACTATGCAGAGAAGAAGCTAGTTGAATGGTACCATGGTGTGCTGATGCATCCTGGCGAGACTCGCACGAACTACCATCAGCAACACTACACCTGGAAAGGCTGCGCAGGACTGTGCAGCCGTATGTCAGCGTTGCCAAAGCTGCCAGATGACAAACCCAAGACGCGTAAGCTGGGATTGATGCCTCCAAAGACTTGCGAGGAGATCCCTTGGAAAGACTATGTATTGACCTGATAGGCCTTACAACGTCGGGGATCCCAAGAAAAAAATTCTGCACACTTCATTGCTTGACAATGATTGATCCCGTAACCGGATGGTTCGAGATTGCAGAGATCTTCCAAGGCAGCAGAGAAGTAGCATCGTCCTAGAACAAACGTGGCTTACTCGGTATCCATGGCCTGCTGAGGTTATCATGGATAGAGACGTGAGTTCGCGCAGAGTCGAAAAGACTCCGGGATGAATGGACTTCGTCGCAAGTTCATCACCACGCGTAACCCTCAAGCCAACTCTATGGTCGAGCGTGCTCATCAAACATACGTAACTTGATCGCTGTTCAAAAACATCAAGTGCCAAGACGACCTCGTGAATGGATCCTGGGATGGAGTCCTCACGGGGGTTCGCTTTGCAATGAATGCCACGATTCATCCACCTTGTGTGCAACGCCCGCACAGCTCGTGTTCAATCGACGCGATTCACAACGTCCGGTTCGAAGCCAACTGGAAGTACATTAAGGAACGTCGCCAACGACTAATCCACAAAACACGATAGGGAAAACGCAACGCGTGTCCCTCATCAATACAATGTCAACGATACTGTGATGATTCAACAGTATCAGCACCGCAAGTACGGTCAGCCAAAGTACAAAGGTCCTTACACTATAGACCGAGTCAATGACAATGGCACTGTACGGCTCCAACATGCTACCGCCAACGGCGGCACAGTCTACCAGACTTGGAACATAAGGTATATACACCCATACAAGGCCTGATCCCCTTGTAGGATTGCCATCGTGCGACGCACATGTCTACATCCAAATCTCATGAGAGTGCCCCGCACTTTAAATCATATGTTCTCCTTGTCCAACTGCTGTCGCGCCTTCTGTGACCCTTGTCAGGGGCGAATGCAATACACGGCTCTTAGCCTTATTCGCGACTCGATCCTAGATAGGGTTTGAGTTCGACTCATGACTGAGTCTCTCGTGAAGTCATTTGAGACAGGGTTCTCAAACCGCGCTAGTCATACTAGGTTGATGATGAAACATCGCTCTGATATTTAGCAGCGTGGTGTACTTCCACGCTACTAGATCCAGCTAGACGAACCTTCCACGCGTTCCGTTTTAGGATCGTGAGAGACGTAGGATTACTACCACAACCTACTCTATCACACTTTATAGTCTCCCGCGAAGCCAGATCTACGATCCCTTTGATGATGATCTCTCTCGTTGATTAGTTTTCATAGCTTTCTAATCTCTCTCATAACTTTCATTCTCTCAAACTCAAAACACTCGAAAGATCTTTACACTAGCTTTTAGCGTAGTGCACTTGACTCGTGAGGACGATTTACAGGTTCTTTGACCGATATTCCAATGCGACAGAGTGCGGATTTATGTGTCTGAAGGTGAGCTTAAAACGCATATCCGTCATGCATTGTACATGTACAGTACCAGTCATCCTTGCTCTCCAAAATTCAGAGCCCATGCAAGCCAAGAACAGGTACGGTATCACTACCAGTATCACAATTCTGGCAACCATACAACTCAAAAGGATGACAACAAACAACAGCAACGATTTTGGACAACACCAACACAGGATGCTACCGTTGCTGTTGGGTGTTGGGTGGAAAAGCGTTAACAAATACGCCCAAGCCTCCAATTCCTTGTCATGGCTCTTGTCTCCTCATGGTCAAGACAATTAATAAAATTGCAAAAGGTCTAGTTGTTGTTGCCTTTGTTGGTGGTGCGCATAAAGTTGACTGATGGATCCGAATTGCACACACTTCATACCGGTACGACTGTACCACTCACTTTACCGGCACCTCTATAGCTAACCTGAATTCTCCAAGGCTTAGAGGCGAGAGCAGTCGAGTAACGAGGTCGAGTGACTGTCGAAGTCAGTCGATGAGCAGTCAGGTACAAAGGAGTAACGGAAGACCTCGGCTTCCTGCCACCTCGCTTGCACAATGGTACTGGTACCGTCCTTACGGGGACGTATGCACAACAATAGAATGGAAGCCTTTTTACGGTACCTGGAGGCGCAACTGTGTTGTTCACCACGTCACCACGTGGCGAAAGCTTGTACTGCGCGAAGAACTACAGACCGGCAGCTCTCACATTGGGTTGCGGGTCCACGCCTAACAAAAGCACGGCGAGGGGGGTTGAGTACACTATTTCGACAGTCTGGCATGCCTCTCCGAGAAATTCAACTTACTTCTCCGCGCCAAGTTTTTTGAGGAAATGGGCCCAGAGTTTATATGTGAAGATGCCGAACTACTCGATGCCATGCAGCGGCACAGCCTCAACAAGAGGGCAAAGCACTGCTCTCGACACCGGAGAGGTAACAGGTCCATCAAAACCAAACCAGAGCCGTGGCGACGGCGACAGTATCTCCCAAACACACTAACAGACAACCCTCCGCGGTCGCCACAGCTCCGGTTGGATATCGTGGCGTGCATTGACAAGAGGACAGCAGCATTCTGCCATGTCAGGTGTCCACCATGCCGCCATGGTCTCCAAGTTCTTGGAATTGGCCGAAACGAGGAGGAATTTGCATGGGCTTTGGGTTCCCGTGGTATACTGCCTATTGTTCCAGGGAGCTGAAACTCCCACAACTGAATGATCAACGAGCTGAAGAGTGCGCTCAAAAGACCACCTGGATGGATGAACCGATCACCGAAGCATTGAGAGGATTCATCCCAGACAAAATCACTAAAGTGACAAGCACCTATTACTCAACAAAGTCCCGGAGAGTGTCACTAGCTGACACAAAGAAGGGGATAAAGAAAAGATTCTCCTCGAGTTTCAACAGCCGAAAGAAGGATGAGGAGATCCCACCAAGCAAATCTGAAAAGAAGGAATTGTTTCAGAACGCGTATAACAAATACAGTAGCTGTCAAAGGAGCTTACCATTGATACCACTGGCAATGGATTGCCGCAACAGGCAGCTGCAACACAACAACTCAACCAGGCCATAACCAAGACGAAGCAGCGGCGGCACAACCAACTCAACCACAGCGACCAGTTACCCACCAACAATAGTTGATCCGTTCCTCCACTTTTTGATGGCATTGTGGAACCGGCAATGATTCTTCTCTCGAAAACAATGAGGAAGGTGCAGCTCTTTTGAAAGATAGGATGGAACAATACTTCTGTAAGAAACAAAAAGAGAAACTAAAAAGCACTATGCTTCTTTCAAAGCACCAACAGAATACAAACGTAGAGACATAGCAACATTGGATACAAAAGGGTATCAAGAACTCACTCGGCATGGGATTCCAATGAATGTCCCTGCCATTCGTTGTGTCTGTCTTGCTCTCATGAGATTGTCAAATGAAGTCCCTGAGATCTGGAATTCAATAAATCAGGTCGGAGTGAGGCAAAGATGTTGCTGAACGTTGTCTGGTTCATCAGCAAATAAGAAGAGGTTGTATGACAATGTCAAGTCATTCTTACCGTCGGCATTAGAGGCATCACTGGCTGCTGGAAATGCAGCCACAGCAGAACTCACTTTGTTTGATGCGAGGACAGTATTCATCCGAGTATTGCGGCATTGGATATGCAAGCATTCTTGAAGGTGGCTGAAGAAAGCTGAGACCAAAGTGCCGAAGCTGGAACCTCATCTTCAGAAGGCGCTCTGTATGATGCATCTCTATCGAAGAATCAGTTTGAGTTGGTTGAAAGTATTTGATTGTGGCACTCGGATACAATCCATTCCAACCCGTCTCCATGATCAAAGCTCTTGACGTGGAGGTATTTCAGCCAACGCACCTGTCGTTCAAGGAAGATAAGCAAAACAAAATGAGCCATTACCGACCAGTTGATGAAGCGAGCAAGTGGGCATTGGACAAGGCACAACAAGACTTACAGAGGAAGGAGATATCAAAAGAATCGCCAAGTGTAACATCGTCTTTGGGGGGGACCATGGCAAAGGAGCCTTTCGTGCTGTGGGACGATTCTACTCTTGTCCAAAGGCCACGTCCACAAGTATGAGCTTGAGCTGGAGAATGACTTTCTTTGTGGCTTCATAGAGTGCAAGAAGGATAACGCGGTAACACTGAACTATTCCCTTGCAAAGCCACTCAATGATTCCTTGAAGAGAACTGGACCGGAGCTTGTATTTTGCCAAGACGAGGACTCCAATCGGTTCATCGAGTGGGGGAGGACGGACGAGATCAGTCGACGGGAAGGCATCATTGTCTTGCATTCGGTGATGTAGAGTTGTTTGGTTGGAGACCTCAAGTTTCAGCTGATGGTTGAAGGTAGAGTTGGCAGTGGTCATTGGTGCGCTCGTTGTAAGCTGGGGAAGACCGAGTGGAGCAACGCAGAAAGCTGCATCGCATGTGGTGAAGCTTGGACTTGGGAAAAGATCGCTGCTCAAAAGCAGTCAGCTGCACGGATCCAACAGCAGAAGAAGAGACAACCCAAGCCAAATGAAACCGGGGATGTGTACAGCCTCCGATCTTTGATGCCATTCCGGTGCAAAACTACCTCACTCGGTGTTACACGATGTGGACCTCTTTACCAACACAGTCAAATCGCTGTTTGATTCATATGTCGACTATAGACTTGAGAACAGACCGAAAGAGGTGCTGGAAGTTAGGTGGGCGGAAGCAGATGGGATAATTGATGAGGAGGAAGCTGATGATAGAGTTTACACAGCAACTGACTTACGAAGACAGCGAAAGCATTGGGCAATCCCCTTCTGATAACCGAAGCAAAGGAATCATTGGAAGGGCCAAAGAGGAACTGAAGGAAGCAAGCATGCGTTGTCAAAAGCAAAGACGACCGGAGGAAGGTTGAAGAGTTGAAGGAGCATGGTGGAGCACTCAGTCGGGAGGTTCGACAGCAGCTGGATGAACAAATGGCCACTCTTTTCAACATTCATCGGTCTTCATATCATGGTGGTGCAATGGTTGGCAACTACTGCCGAAAGATGCTGCATGGTGCAGACACAGTGATGGATGCAGCTGAGGCAATGCTCAAACAGATCCACAAGAGCTGAGAGCCAAGGGCTGTGATGATGCCGAAATCAGCAAATATGCAACGGCTTCAAGCGAATCCTCCAATACATGAGTATCCTCTCGCACTACTGCTATCAGCCGTATGGCACAATAACAGACAATGAGATTGCTTCAATCCGAGACGTCTTGGTTCCACGCTTGGTGCGTCTCTTTGAAAGATGTCGACGACCCTCCCTCCGAAGCTCCATATGTTGGTCACCTCATCGAAGATCTGGACCGCACAGAGGAATGAAGTTCCACCACGAGTCAAAGATAGAAGTCGCTCATCAAATCGGGAAACAGACCGATCTGAGTTCAGGTCATTGGCAGCAAAAAAGGAAAGAGGATGAAAGCCGAAATGAAGTTCGAAGCCAACTTGAAGGACGATGCCGTGAAAGCCTCGCAGCAGGAGGTCAAGAACAAGAGAAAGCGAGATTTGGAGAGAAAGCAAAAGCAGCAAGGCAGTTAGCAGCGGAAAGAAAAAGGAACAGAGGTTGAATTCGATTGAGGAGATCCTTGCGCTGCCGGAGATCGAGGACGAGTTTCCCTCACTGCAAGAACTTACCATAGTCGATCGCAAGAGGACAAGAGAGGAGGAGCGTATGAACAAGGCAAGGGAAGAAGCAGCGGCTTGAGAGCCGGAAGGATTGGCCATGGTGTTGAAGAGGATCGATTGTGTTGGTTTGGCTACAGGAGTGAGGATCTGTTCGTTCGATCGCGAGTGCATGAGTGTTCGATTCGGGATGTGCCTTCTCTTTTTTGGATCTGTCGGTTGGTTGTCACTGTTCTGTTGGAACGTCTTAGACTTAATAAACCACTATTGGAAGATTTAACAACACAGCATTCGGAAACTGACGTCGGCGTTCCGGATCCAAAAGAAGAGATCATTGACACAAGAGCCAACAGCAAACGATAGGTTTGTCAATAGACAAGAGAGAGAGAAGTGACTCGTGCATGCTACAACATGTAGTGCTCCTATACTTACGGCTTAAAGACAAGGGAATGATGTATTGATTGCTTTGTTGTTTAAAGGTTCCGGAACGATTCCCAATCAATCATACAAAGAGCACTCTTTTGGGCTTGAGTATTGGCGGAGACGCATGCAATGGTCGATAGTTTGGGGCTCCAACGCTGCTTGTCTATTGACGGCAATCACGGATCGATATTTGGATTGCTTGACTATGGGCAATCACGGGATTTGATTGTTGGCTCAACGCTAGCATAGTTTCCTTCGAAGCCGTCAGCCACATTTCGACAATCAACACTTCAACAGCAGAAACTCTTTCCTCTCCAAGCTCTCCACCATGACGACCAATCAAGACGGCATCAGCTCTATGTTTGAAAACTTCCTGCTCCCGCCTCCTTTGCGTCCGATGCTACGCTTAAACTGTCAGGGTTCCTGGCCACATTACGGGGCTTGGCGTCAGCCTTGAGCTAGACACCAAAAGTTGGAGTTGGTCGTATTTCAACAAGGATGAGATTCCTCGCAAAGCCATTTGGACCATCAATCAAGACTTCGAGCACTTCCAAGACTGCTGCACGCTGGTTACTTGCTTCATGGCCCAGCTGCCTCAATGGTTCTTTGGATGCCGACGTCGTCGCGGTCTCTTGGGTTGGTCTCCCCATGAAATCAGGCGATATGCCATGGATTTTCCTTCAAGCCCTGAACATGCACACCACCGCCCTCAAAGGACAGCGTCTGCGTGCTTCCTATGATGCGTCTGCTCCTCCGAGTGGAAGGTTCAAACGGAACTCTTCAACAGCGATGGTGATGGCTTCAGGTTCATTGATGATGAAGATGTCGTTGAGATTTCCAAGTACAACGAAGCTCTACTCAAACAAGCTGCTTCGAAACAAGCCGCAACCAAACAAGCCGCACAAATGGTTCCCAGTTCTCGAAAGCGCAAGAAGACTCTGAAGATTATGCGGCAAAGCGCAGCACAAGGATGAAGATGCTGCCGAGGATGTCGCCGTGCCATGTCTGACCAAGTCGTTTTCACTGAGTACTCTGAGTTGAAGAGGAAGATGTTGAAGAGGAAGACTCTGATGATGATAGAAAGAAGAAGATATGGATGAAGATGACGATCTAGGTGTCCCTAGCGACATTACTTTTGTGTCGCTATGCTTCAAGAGTGCCGCTGGATAGTAGTGGAGATGAAATGGAGGAGGACGATGACGACGATCAAGCTTGTTTCGAATTCCCTTCCTCCGGCCTGGCTCGGACGATGATGATGAGGATATGCGTCACTCGACAAATGGATGACGATGATGAGGACGATAATGACAACTCGAACAGCAAGTAGTGGCGGCAACCATAGCTTATTCATTGTAGCTTTTAACACTATTATAGTTGATTTGATACTACGACTGTACTAGTTTGCTGTAGTACTAGTAGAGTTGTTCCGTGTGTAGCCAATGACTCGACGATGAAGCCAAGGTTGCCTGTACAGTTCAATACTACATACACTACAATGCACTACTAGCTAGCTAGAGGAGAGTCACAAACAATGAATAAAGAGAGTGTTAGACTTTTTTGATATCTACACTGCTAGTCGCTTTGGTGGGAGGATACCACCCATTGTCATTGTGCCATTTGTCTTGTTGTTGGGTGATGATAGGCCTGATAGTGCAGTTGTGACCGTGTTGTGGATTGAAGAGATCAGACGACACTGCCAAACGAAATGCGGCGACGTCCGGTCTTTTTGACTTTAACAGCGGCATTGATCTCATTCGCGTGTACGCCAGCATAAAAGTCCTCGTAGCAACAATGCTGAGCCACCATGCTGGCCACCCAGCGCAACCCAAGAAGGAAGGCAGGACCTTGATCATTAGTTGTCGTGTATGGAATCAAGAAAACAAGCTCGGCAATGTCAGTGTCAGGGCGGCTAGGGTGTTTTGCCATCGTGATACGGTACTGTCGACAAGTAGTGTGATCTCCGTAGACTTTGGTCGGATCATGCAGCGTCCATGGTCGGCTGTTCGAGAGGAGGAAATCAAACCCGCCACGTTCTTGATTAATCAATTGGGATCCGTCGTGCTCGGTGTGGACGATTCCACCCCATCCATCCAGAACGAACCGAAACTCATCGTTGTGCCCTTTGCGCTCAAGGGCAATCGATCCTTTGCCACGAAAGATCTTAACGCCAGATGATTCGATGGTGTTCAGCACCGGCACCAATCTGTACAACTCAAAGTAACCATTCCAAGTCAATGCAACGCCGACGTTCAGCCCAGTCCAATTCCATGGTTCGCTGCTGCCGCTCGGAGGGCCTTGATTGCTCATGGTACCGGTGTCGATCGATCGATATCAAAGAAACAGGAGAGGCTTACAGAAAAGAGAGTGAGAATACAGCGGCTCATGGCCATGGTGACAATTGATCGAAGAAACAAAACTTACATTCGGAAAAGAGAGTGAAATAGTGTCAATCGCGACTAGCTGCACTACACAAGCATCGATATCGCACTGCAAGCAAGAGTTGGATCCCGTGAGCAGGAGAGTTCTGTGCCATACTTTACGTTCCGCACGAGTTGGATCCCGTGCGGATTCAAATTCCTGGGCCATACTTTACATTCCGAGAAGACTCCGAGAATCCTTCTCCGGTTGTTGATCGATACATTGCCTTTCTGGGAATCGTCTTCCAAGACAGAATCGCGTGTTTAACTAAGGCCAAACTGTGGCTCTCCCGGGATCGATGACTGGCCAACTCATGCGTTCGCATCGACTCCACCAGTCGATACACCACACTTTTGGCTCACTTTTCAGCCAACCAACAATTTACAACAGAACCTCTGCAGAAAATTTCACTCGATTGCTCTTTTTGATTGCACCATGGCGGAGTCTTTTGGCACTTGGATTGGACAGCAAGTCCCTGGAACGAAAAAGGTAAGAACATGCCCATCGTGGAACAAAGTCCAGCTTGCTTCCAGCCCAAATCCAAACTCACCACTGTGTTCCTTTCTTGTGCCACACCCAGGTGGCGATTGTGCCATTCCCGGACGAGCATCGCATTGAGTATCGCTATTTTGGGTGGAGATGGAGAAGTTCTTGACACCGACCACGAACGTTTCGACTCTCAAGCGGAGTATGAAGAAGGCTTGATTCGCTTCCAGGTCCAAGGCAACTTCACGTCGGACGAAGATGCTGCACGAGCTCGCACTGCTGCCCGCAGAGAAATCATTCAAGTCTTCGAGGAAGAGATGGAGGAAGAGATGCGCGAAATCTGGGAACGTGACTTCTTCCCTCGTTCGGAATTTCCCCGCGCGCCGCAAGAGGTTCTTGATCAGTGCAACAAAAGGTCCAAGACTTTGGCAAGGCCCTTGCGGTCCCTATGGTGAAGTCAATACTCGACTGGACTCAAACTGTGCTCACGCTCATCGAAGTGGTGGCTGAAAAGGAAGAGGCTGAGGCCAAGGCGATGGAGGAAGAGTTTGCTCGGGCTCGGGAGGCCGATTCGAAGGCGAAGGCGGACACATTCGCGGTCGCGGACCTCAAGGACGTCCAAGATAGTCTAGGCTCGACCAAGGAATCAATGGGATCGCACTATTGTCAGCGTTCGGACGTCGACACGTCCAAGGCCGCGGCCTCGAAAAGGATTTTGGACTTCATCCACAGCACCGACCTCCTCCTCCAGAAAGAGGACAGCGACGATGACAGCGTTGAAGTCGATGCCAAGTGGAAGGATGTTGATGTCTCCATGGACTCCGTCAAGACTCCCGTCAAGACTCCCGTCAAGACTCCTGTCAAGACCGACAAGTCTGCGGATGATTCGATGGCTTCTGAGGATAGTGTCGGCTTCAATTCCATCATCAAGCAGTTTGGAGGAGGCACCATGCTCAACGATGACTCTGACTCCGATGATGGTACATACCAGAAAGGATTGTCCCAGTGCCTCTGAAGAGTGAGTCGGCTCCAGCGTGGATTGTTGTTGTTGCTTGTTGTCTTGATGCACTCATCTCATCTCTTCTTCTCTGTCGCTTGCAGATATGGCCAAGCCAGACAATGGTGCTGTTCCTGCTGATGTTGGCTACTGCTTGTAGCTGTGCGTGGGTGCTGCTCCTGTGTTGCCTTGGAGATGGATGGTATTGTATGGACGCCATCGTCTTCTTCTTATTGGCTTGCTTCGATCGATTGGTGCTGATGTTGGTTGGTGTTGGTTGTGTGTGTGTACACTATCCCCAACCCTAACATGCAAAAATTTGGACGGTTTGAGTTGATGTCTTATCGATATTTATTTAGCTATTAAAAAAACTAAAGTATGCCTGGCCGACGTGTCTCCGTGTTATTTGTTAGTGACGGAATCCAAGCCGCTCTCAACCCAATGTGTCTACTAGTACCTTCAATTTCCCCTTCACAATACAGCTCTTAATTAATACACACTTTATCTGAAAGACTTCGAGTCGAGTCAATCCGAGGAGGGCACTTCAAAGCTTCAAATTATTTAAAGTACAATGTATGTGCCGGAGGAGTTGCCGGAGGCAAAAGACCTTTCGACTTTCGACCTTTCAGTACTCGAGTACCAGGTACTCAGTACCTGATACTCAGTACTCATCATCTCAGCATTCAATCAAAGCCTTTTTACGTTGAAGCGAAGTGGTTGCAGTTAGTTGACGACGTGGCCAAGGCGGAGTTCGGTGCGTACCGGTGGCTGATCCCGGCGAGCAACGCGTCAACGCGTCAGCAACTAATGTTTGCTTCCACCTCACACAATCTCTCCAGCGGACACACAATCTCACCTTGCTTCATAAAAGAAACGTCGCCGTCACCAAGAAACATAAACAACAAAAAGTTCCAACCATGAGAATCTCTTCGTGCGCTCCCTTCCTTCTCGTTGTGGGATGGACCAATGGCTTTTCTCTGGCTCCATCATCAGTACGGAATGGACGATCTGCCTTTTTGCCGTCATCTCGGGTGACAGCATTGGCCATGGCTGATGACGACACGGTATGTGCGACAGAGCAAGTTGCGCCTGTTTCTTTTGTCTTTTTCACCTCTTAACTAACTAAGAACGTCTTTATTGTTTGTTTGTTACTGACATTGTATTGCAATTGGACGCACAGACCACTATTGATCAGAGCGAAGATCAAATGCTGCACACCGCCGAACGTGTTGCGGGTATGTCTCGTGGAGAAATCCAACACATTTTCGAAGATGTCGATACGGATGGTTCCGGAGACATTGACATGGCCGAGCTGGACCAACTCATGACCAAGTACTTTGGAAAATCGATCAAAAAGGAAGATAAGAAAGCCTTGATGCGCGATATTGATAGCGACAAGAACGGGACAATCGATGCCGAGGAATTCTACAAGTGGATGGTCTTGAATGCGCAGAGTGCGGGAACTGCCGATCAAAATGGTACCAAAACCCTCCAGCAACGCCAGGAACGTCTCGATTTGGCGCATGAAGTGCCACAAGATTTGCTGGATTTGTTGGACGAATTTGGTACCGGTGCCGTCGTGCAAAAGGTGACCCATCCCCTCCATTCGGCATTTGGACGGACATTGCGCGATCATTTTGTGTCTTGCTACCTCCTCTCGAAGGAATGGGGCAACGACGAGGCTACCAACGTGGCCAATATGTTTCACGCCATTTATCAACGTGGAGACGGATTGCGAGCAGTGGATTTCAACGAATACCGACCCAAGTTGCAAGAACGGTTGGGAAAGGATGTCGAAGAGCTTTTGTATCTATTTCCCTCGGCTCACAAGAGTGTGTTGGACCTCAACGGTTTGTTGATGACACCGGTTGGTTGCGATGTTGAAGTCAACAATGTACTCGAAGGAGGAAAGGTGACTATCCCCAAAGAACTTCGACCCAAATTGGTCGAGATGGAAGTCATCAATTCGCACGATCAACACGTCCTGGAGAACAGCAGTCCGGTCCATAATCTGTGGAGCTTTTACGAACATGCCAACGCCCTTCCATTAATGTCGGAAGGGGCCCAACGCGCTGTCATTGAATACATGAAGCGAGCTCCCGGGGCCACCTGCGCTGATATTGTGGAATGGCAGGAGGCTCGATTTGAGGATGCAGGTCAAGAGATCCCTGAACTATGGCAAAACCACATTGCCCTCTTCAAACCCAAAGGCTTCTTCACCTGCATTGAAGAAAACCTTCAAGACATGGCTGATGAAGATGGAAACGGCGAGATCTGTTGGGATGAGTTTACCAGTTTTGACTGGGACAAGTTGTTTCAGTGCAAGGTGTAACAAGGCGCAGGTAACTGGTGCATGGGCACAAAACAAAAGAGCCAACAAACTACATGTAGACGATCTGCTTTGCTATTACTTTTTTTGAAGTACCGGTACCGGTACAATGCGGTACCATATTAGAAATAAAAACTTAAAACTAAATCCTCTTCCAACGTGACCTGCATTCGGTTGATACCGTCCGTAGTACCAGTTCTGTCTGGGACCATCTTGCAATGCAAAACAAGAGCTCTGGGTACTCTAGGCTTCTTCAACTACTTCAGGCGGAGCAAGACAACAACTTCACGCCTAGCGGTACGTGCCATAGTTGCAGCTAGAGCTAGTGACTGTTGTGGTCGGTCCTGGTGGCCCCAGAACTACTCCAAGACCAACGCCAGGGCCATAACCAGGTCCAACAACCGACAGCGGGCACGGCACCCCACTCAGACTGCGGGTGAACTCAGTTTTAGCCCGCGGAAATTCTATACAGGCCTCATAGGGTTAATCCTAACTCGTTCACATCCGCGATCGCCGCTCTCCACAAATTTGGCAAAGCAACGGCAAATTCCGACGTTGACGATGGTGCAACCCTGTTTGGAAAGCGCACAGCTCATTGAAGACAGCGACATTGATGGACTCTATGGTGACTGTCCTGTCAAGCTCAAATCCAACCCCACAACCGAAAGCACCTGTGCAAAGAAAGATCCTGAGCTCGAGTTACCCACTCAATGTTTGAGCCATGACTTTGTTCCGTTTCCTCCTCATCAAGCAAACAAATGCACTTTCCCTCCTGGTGCTCGAGTGGTGATCTGTCGCTACAATGGAGCTATTGATTCGAATGGGCCGTCGAGTGCTCTATTGGTCTCTCAAGTTCTTCATGGGAAGGTCCGAAACGTCGGTGCAAGCGCCCGTTGCAATCAAACGGTCGAAACGCTGTATCAAGTAGTACTGAACGACAAGGCATCAACCATGATTACTACGGGTGAGCGAGACATCCAGTTAGCCATCGGAGCCCCAGTATGGATACGGATGGCAGAAACTGACATGTATCGCCCAGCTGTTGTCGTACAATCACAGCATTTTCCAGTTTTCAATGACGATCCAGTTTTATCTAGCCATGTCATGTACTCTGTCCAAGCCCTAGTGGGAAACTGCATGGTCTACCATGGACTCCTCATGGACCATCTCATCTACAGATCATCTGCACGCCCTCCCAAGTTTGAGTCTTCGAGAGCTTCCAGCATTCCCAAAGTTCCTCCTAAAGCGACAATCTCCCTTTCTTCAGCTACCGTGCTGGTTCCGTCGGCAGAAGCACCCAAAGAGTTTCCAAGTAGTCAAACAAAGTCGTCTGCTACTACGGAGCCCATTCTACAACAGAGGCAGCATGCTGACACCAACGAGAAGCCGATCAAGGAAGGAGCGCAACTCGATTTAGATGAAGTCATTGCAGCAAATATGGAACAGACAAAGTTGGTCGACAACGCCAGTCACCTTCAACAGGACAAATGTAAAAAGGCCAAGTCATTGGGACCTTTGAAGAAACGAGCCCTGGTGGTCCAACAATCATCTAGAGTCCCATCGGTGTCTCCTAATCCTCCTAGACCAAGTGCTTCGGGAGATCAAGAAAGCAACCAGGCCGGCGAGATTTCCACACAGAGCTCGTCCCTGGCATTGCGCAACACCACTAGAAAGCCGGTTGTATTATCCCCGGAAGAATCTTCGCCAGAAAGATCATTATCGTTCATCAGCCCCAAACCCACCGAGCGCAGTCTTCTGTCCGAATTCACTGATGCTGCCAAAAAGGTCAGTCCCCTTCCAAATGACGCTAGTGAGTCTGGAACCAACTGGATGCTCTCCCCGCCAAACTCAAAGCCTTCCATGCGCCGCGCAATGGAGGTCGGAGCACTGGCGCAGTTCAGTACAAGCCGGGTTTCCACCAACAAACTCGCTTCCCTGTTGTCGCCAAGAAAGAATCGAACGGTTACTTTCGGTCAGGTCCGCTATCACCCTCACCCAGACTCCGACAGCAACACAAGGGCGACTGAAATCCCAAAAGGCACCGCAGCTACCACCGATTCAGCCCACAAGCCCAGAAGTGGTATCGCCTCACGTCCAAAATCAAGGGCCGTTCCTGTTTTCAACCGAGACCCCAGTCCATTCCAGTTCATCAAATTCGGGGTTGAACACCAGGTCAATGTGGTTCTCCGTGAGCTGAGGACCACGGCCGCGAAGGATATGTTGGACCAGACTTGCTTGAAGTATCAAATCATTGGATCTTGCTGGGAAGGCTGCAAACGACAACAGAATCACGTGAAGCTCACATTGAAGACTACAGCTCTTCTGGAAGATGCCCTGGGACGCTGGATAGGCCAGACCGGGCCAATCTTTTGTCAGCCGGCATCCTCTACCAGTGATACGATGAATCGATTTCGAGCTTCAACAACCAAGTGCAAGCTCTACTTCCATGCCGTACCAAGGGAAGCATCTTTCCACCAGAGTATCCATGCTTCCCATCTCGCTGTGATGTACCTGCCAGTATGTTTCGGAGAGGATCTGATAGTAGATACCATCATTGGCAAGGATGGCGCCACTGTTCGAGAATTGTGCGATATGTTTTCTTGCTCAATCAAGGTCGAAGGACTTCCAACATCACATACTGGATCGTCTCCTATTGTTGTCCAAATCAAAGCCAGTTCTAGCCGTGACCTCGATTTTTGTCGATTCGCCATCGAAAATGCCCTTTTCCGAGCAACTCCGTGGCATCTCCGTGCTCTTATGCTCTACGATCTGGCTGATACCAACAACTACCGATACAAGAAGGGAAAAATTGTGCGTACACTCAATCCACATGCCAAAGATCATTCGACGTGCGAGCTCCAGCACGTTACTATCATCAGAGCATCCCGTGCCCGTGGCGCAACACGTGATGGTACAGACATGATCAAGCAGGCACACCCGAACTGTCAGATAGAACTGATCAAGCGGTCGAGCGCTTGGCCTTCTATTTGCGCCCATTTTGTCATCACTGGATTGAAATTTAAAGATGTCCAAAAGTGTCGAGACTCCACTATGGAGTTGATGAAGCACGGACGATCCCCCCGAAAGGGTCAACACAAAACATAAGGCGCAGTATTGAAAACAAGTCAATCCGGGCCAGATTTGATTCAAAGACGAAAGACTACTAGCTCTGGCTACACAGCAGGCTTCCCGTAGATAATCTACCTACCCTAAACCCCCGTTCCATTCAAAGTCTGCTAGCTCAAGGTTGCAAAGCCTGGGGTTATATCCTTGCCGGTACTGGACCGGCGAGGATCCTGTGGATCGTGGTTACCGGTCTCTAGTGGTTACTGTCTCTTGTTGCGCCCCTTCTCGGCACCACCTGGCTGGTCATATTCAAAGGCCAATGGAATGGTCTCGTTCTTTTGTTCTACTCTGTACTTGATGTCCTTCCACTGCAAGTATGCATCCTGCCTTGTCTCCACAGTAAGTTTGTATGCTGTCTTTTCACCCACAAGTTGCACAAAGTTGTGAAACCACCCTGCAAGTGAATGATCTTTTCCTGCAATGGGGAAGTCGTTCCTGTCAGCCCATTGTTGTGCTGACCGCCTGGGACCAGCCACGAATGTATCCAAGGAGCCACTGTAGTGGTGCACTCGAAATGGGATCTTTTCTAATTCTATTTTTTGTGACCAGGAATTGTCGCAGGTGTCACCAAGCGGCCGATGCGGATTGGTGACTTTGTCTCGTCCATTGTAGTTGTGAACATTGACCAAAGATTTGCCAGGCTGCCTCCGCCCCACTGGCTGATGGGAGCGATAGCGGAGTGTGTGGAAGGTTTTGACAGGAAAAAACGATGATGGCACAGTGGTATTGATATCTGCTTGCTCTTTTGTCGACAATTGATCCTTTGCCGAGAAGAACACTCTTGGATAGACGTAACAAATTGTGGTGTTTTTGTGTACTGTCTTATCACGGGCAAGCCAATGTGCAATTGTCTCATTCTGCCTTCCAATGCTGCTGGGCAGGGACATCCGCAATGGACTGGATTGAGATTGCTCACTCGGCAGCAATGCATTGTAGGTAAAGAATTCATCTGTGTCAATGATGACAGTCCAGCTAAAATTCCCTTGTTGTTTGAGTTGGCGCAGACAGGTTGTGTAAAAGGCACGCTGACGTTGTAGATACATAGTGTATGCTTGCTTCCAGGTATGATTGTGTGGATCAAAGTTTTCAAATCTCTCTCTGGACCATTGTCCATCGTGCCAGTAGGAGTTTCCGGTCCACAATTCAATGGTCAGATCTGGCAGCTCTTCTCGAAACGCGCCCAGGATGGGCTCAGGAGATGTAATACTGAACGGATCAGCGGCAATAATCAAATGTCTCAGTGGCAATACTGTGTAGTGAAATGCAATCCATTCTGGCAACAGCAGATTGTCATCACGGGCAAGCAGACAGGCGGCAATTGTAAAAGGATAGGTGTGGTTGGGTCTTGCATGCCGGGTTTCTTCACTCCAACTCGTGTTGGTGCTGTTATGATGATCATGCTCACGATTGCCTTCATTGGTGTTTTCTTGAACAATCCTCTGAAGATTCGCTGCCAAAACATCCTTATAGAACTGAATTTGTTTCATCTGCAGAGAACAGCAGACCAACGGAATAATAATGAGAGAAGCTACTGCCCTTGTCGATCGTCGCCGTTGCTCTCCAGCCTTCTGTTTCTTCACTTTAATTGCCTCCAAGAGCGACATGATGTCGTCAAACACAAAGACGAGTACCGGTAGCTATCGGCACTCGGAATACAGTAGCAAATTCTCTTCCATTCGTTGCATGGACTGGATTGGATTATGCAGATACGGCATGCGGCAGCGCAGATCTCCACCAACACATCATCGTTCGTGGCCCTCGCTAATTTGCTATGTAAAGTGTGACAGTGAACTGGATGTAAACCTCCCCCCGCGTATCGGTACCACCGGTACCGGTCCGGGAGTTGGGGGGTCACAGTTGGGATGTTATTAATTAAAAAGACCTTCATGAACACTCACGATAAAAGACTTATCAGCCTAAATGACCGATATAAAGACTCTAAGTCATATAGCCTAAAACCACTTAATCGTGAATGTCGGAGAATGTAGGAATTCTGAACTGGATGTCGGAAAATGTCGGCGTTTGTACGAGAATGTCTGAACATGTCGGAAAATGTCGGCAAAATGTCGGAAGGTTTCCAGACATTTCTCCGACATTCACGATTAGCTTTAAATCATTCCGAGTCAGAGTTCTCTCGCTAAACTGAGTCGGGGGACATTCCGAATCAGAGTTCTTTCGCTTAATTCCTACAGTAGTGACCATAGAAAAAAGAAATAAGACTCAAACAGCGAGTTTCTTCCATTTTAATTAACGCGGGGTTAACGCCTCTAATCGTGAATGTCGGAAAAACGTCGCTGATAAAATCTGCGATGTCGGCACAATGTCGGAAAATGTACGAGAATGTCGGCGTTTGTACGAGAATGTCTGAACTTGTCGGAAAATGTTGGCAATGTCGGCACTTTGTCGGAATTTTGTCGGGAAACTTTCTTTTTGGCATTAAGGCTAAACAGTTATGACTATAGATGAGGTCATTTGGTTAAATGAGGCTTTATCGGGAGTGTTTATGCTTGTCTTGATTTCCCGTTCGCAGAGGACGAGCACGAACAAGTTCCTGTTTGCAGAGGATGAGCACCAACACGTCTCGCAGCATCTGGAGTGGACCGGGCACATAGCAAATACAGAAGTGTTCGTAGCAACAGGCTTGGGCCTTGACTCTGCACTTGCTGGCTATGGACACATTGCTCGGAAGGATCGACCGTGCAAATTGTTGCTTGACCCTGGGCCCTGGGCGCCGATATCCCCGAGCTTCCTCATATCAGCAAACCTCCCCTTTACGATCAATGCCTCCCTTGGCGATGCGTTCCAACGAATACCGAGACTCTTGGACTCCAGCTGCAACTCATCCGCATCTACCGTAGTACAGAATACATTTGCACCCATTCTTCCCATGTCTTGCTACAAAGAAGTCAATGCCTCCACCATCGACAACTAGTACATGTAGAACAAGACAAGGTAGCGGCCATCACACAAAGGTCCATCTGGGGTGGAAGCTGCAGGAGACCAACATCGTTCCTTCCTTCCTGTTTTGCATCGGCACCGACTGAACGGGCCCACACGTGCGTAAAGGAGAATCGTATGATGTCTCTATGTCATTTATTTATTTCACCCATCCTGTATCTGCCGGATGAGGAGCCTATTGATGAAAATAATATAAAAGGGCAGACAGAAAACACATACCTATTTTAAAATGCGGCGAAGACGAAAGAACGACAACCAATACAAGCGAAGAAACAGAGAAACAGCCATCTGTGAATCCATCCTTCCACGCGCCGAGAGACGGAAACGATCCATCACAACAACATGTGCATGGATTTGCACAGCATAAATACATAGGATTAAGAAAGTCTCAATGACGTGTCCTTCCAAGAAGAAGAAGAACAAGAAGAAGAGGATCCAGAAGAATGGGCAAAAGGCAGTCAAGAAATGATCCAAGATGGTACTATATCAAAAGAATAGGCAATAGAAGAATCAACATGTGGCAAGGGCTTGCCATTTCTTCTGTCACGGCATGGATGCATCTTGCATCTTATCATCATCTGGAAAGGTGCTGCAATGTACTTTGGATTCTTTATTTTTCTAAAAAGTGGATTGCATCATTCAAGAATTCAGCCAACCCTTTGAGGTTTGATGGTAAAGGTGACAGTACCGGTATGTCCTAGCTAGCCTAGCTAGATCTAACCAATACTTGGCAGGAGGGTACTGTAATTGGATCTATTTCGTTGATAGCCTCCTGGCTAGCTACCGTACAGTCGTACCGTGCTAGCATGCATGGCCAGGGCTATCCGCTAGTAGGTTGTGGAGGTGGTCCAGATTGTTCGTTGGAGAGGATGGGCTGACAACCGTGATGGCTTGAAGTATTTTGCAGTTGTTGTAGCTCGAGGAAATCCAAGCGAGTGGAACCAATGACATGCGTTTGACAGTGTGAAAGCAAAACGAGAAGCTCGAGTTTTCTTCCTCCGAAAATGTTTTGGATCATATTTAGCGGTTCGGCCATTCCACTTATTTTGTCAGAGACACAAACAGCCGACAGACAAACTCGTTTGGGTGTGGTGTCCATTGTTGTTGTTCATTCGGAGTCAATCTCTTTCGTAGCTACCTAGCTACTTGTGTGCCGTTGGTCTTGACTGTGTTTGTTGCTGGATTGGAAGCTGTGGAAGGAAGAAGTTGAGATGAATCAAGACCAAGAAGAGACCATGGAGATGGAGGAGTCTCTGACAGCTGGCGCGATTCTCCGCCTCGCGGCAATGACAAGTTCGGATGACGACCCTTCCTTCCAGCCAACGCTACAAGTCCTTGAGATTGCGACCGTACAATCGGATGACGATGAGATCACTGCCTTTGTTGTAAGTGTGACCACATGTATCACTAGACGAGTAGTTGTTGGGCTAATCGATTTTCATTTGCTGCTACTGTAGCTGGTCCTGTCGGATGGGACTCATTCCGCTCGGTACATGCTAGACCCATGCGAAACCAACCTGATTCAGGCCAATCTACTGGAAGTCTACGGCATCATTCGGCTTTATGGGTTTGAGGGTGGCTCTTGCAGCACAGCCGATTGTTTGGAGGTGATGCCCGTAGTGCGTCGGTTGATTGTCTCTGGCCAGAATCCTGGAAAATCCATTGGTGATCCCATGGATTTCAATCTTGTGGATCACTATTCTCTATCCGCAGAAAGCCTCCAAGACATCTTCAGGGGATTGGGAGACTCCTGTGAGACATTTGAAGAAATGGCGCTGCTAGAGAAACTTGTTCGGCATGGCGGCAAGAGACTCTCTATGGCACAAATTAAAGGTCTTCTCTCATCCGATGCCGAAACGGACATATTCAGTGGATTGATGCAAAAATTCCTGGAAAAGAAAGCCAGAGGATCTCCGAAGAATAATCAACCAAAAAAGGACACGCGTCCAGCCACAAAAACCAACTCCTCCCCACAGGCAAATATCAAGGCTCCCGAGCTAATTCCAATCAGCAGCAGTAATGGAGAGAGCGTTTATGTCGATAAGAAAGAGTTGGACAAAATGACAAAGTTGAGTCCTCAAGAACGAACTGCCATCGCCAAGGCCATGGGCACAGAAACAACACCCCAAACTACGTTGAACCCAGGTTAGTACAGTGAGACTCTTAGGGTGGATTATGCTTCTCGTTCCATTCTCACAGTGTTCGGTCCTTTCATTTTTCATCTCTCTTTTTTCTTCTGACCACACAGAACACACAGTTCAAAAGCTTCCCATCCTCGCCGCTTTGACGCACAGCAAAGTACCCCTCCACCCGGATGTCGTCGCGGCATTGGTCGATGAATACAAAATTCGGAAATTGATTGCCCGCGAAGCAAAAAAACAAGCAGAGAAAAAGGGACGCTCCAATAATTACTTTGCACTCTCGCGGGAGTACAAGGAAAAGGAACGAGTCTCACAGGAAACAGCCGACAAGCAAATCTCCAAACAATATCGAAAAGTATCCCTCCGATTGCATCCCGATCGTCATGGAGATTTGTATCAACGGGAATTCGATGAGCTGCTCCTTGCCTACGAAATCATGAAAGACCCAGACTTTCGTCAAGACTACGTCGACAAGATGGTCAAAGTCATTGAGACTGCTCCTGATCATGCAATGCCTGCTCACGAATCCTACGTATCGAGCTATCAGGAGCAAAAGGACCAAGCTACCGAGTGGGCACGGTACCAGAGAGCCATGGTCACGGGAGGCCACAAGGCACACTTTTATATCGAAACTCATTTGATGAATCAATCGCCTCGAGCCCTTCACGTCAACAATATTCAAGGCAAGACAATCTCGATTGCTCTCCCACCATTGAACCCACTCGCACATTTCGAGTCAATGTGTCAGTCGGTGTCGGTGTGGCTTGAATCTGTGCCCAAGGGAAACGACACAGTGCTCAAGCGATTGGAAGGGCAGGCCTTGAAAAAGGCATTCGGAGGTGGAGGTGGAAGTCAGCCGGGATGGGTTCAAACCAACGTGGCCTTGCCCGAGTATGGGACCTGGCAGATATACTGGAAGGCTCAATTGAAGGTCGAAGTTGCCAGCGACAAAACTGCAGAGACAACCCCGTCTGTCTCACGCCAAGTTGTGTTGACCGATCCTTCCTACGAGAGGGCCGAGCAGCGGTTGCCAGGTCTGATTCAACACGCCAAGCTCTTGCGATCATCGTTGCAATCCGAATCGCAGAAACTAAGTCGTTCCACGCAAGGCATGTCGACGGGAGAGTTGGAGAAAAGCTATTGGTCCGTCCACGCTCTCATCTCCAAGAGCCGAACCATTGCTAGCTCTCTTTGGGGCACGCTCGAGAAAATGGGACACGATGATCCGAAAGACTATTGCTTGGAGCTGGAGCAGCTGTTGACGTGGATTGACACTTGTGCGAGGGAAAAGAGTCAGTTGGACGACAAAATTCAGCACAATCAGAAGAAATTGAGCATGAAGTCCTTCAAGCACAGGTAATTATTTTGATTCGTTGTTTGTCAACTCGTGATTTGCTCGCACATTCTTACAATCCTCCACTTTTCGTGTTTCTGCTTCCTCCTCAGCGTTGCTGCGCTCATTGAAGAAGGGCGTTTGCGCGATTGGATTCTAAACGCGGAGAAACAGGAGATTATCAACACTGGGGGTGAAGTCAACCGTCTGTATCAGCTGATCACGGAAGGGAAGAAAGCCAATTCACTTCTTCTCGATGCAGATTCTCTCCGCAACGCTGCCACACGCTCGGACCTGTTTTCTACAAAGCAATGCCAATCTCTCTTGGAACGAGCTGACGAAGTGGAAGCCCGAATGCTGGAAGAAACCCAACGCCTCGTTCAACAGCACGCAGAGGAAGATGCAGCGAAAAAGAAACGAGAGGAAATGGAAAAGCTGGCTCTCGTGGGCCTGCGGTTGCGGCAAAAGGTCATGTTGAAAGATCTGAAAACGCGAACGGAACTGAATGGAACAATTGGCTTGTTCATGGGACTCGCACAACAGGGAAACCGATTTGTCGTTCGTGTTCAAGGCGTTGATATGGCTCTCTGCAGGGAGAACTTTGAAGAGTGGAGAGGAGGAGAAAATGCGACAAAGAAGGCAGCGCCCAAGGTCGCCACTTGGACATGTTCGTTATGCACGTTGCTAAACAATGCAACACTGGACAAGTGCTCCGTCTGCGAGAACCCCAGAAAGGCCGTATCAGCGGCCGGGACGAAGACAACAACAGCAATCGGCAAATCGAGCATCACGAGTGTGTCTGTGAAGAACAAGCAGACCAAGAAACCTGCACCCGTCACACAACAGCAAATTTCGTCCAAACCGGCTCCAGTAGGTTGGCCAGCAACATCAACAGGCAAAAGCTCTTCCGCGTGGGGTGTCCCGAAGCAACACGGGGCACAAGTGGGGCTCCTGGCATCAAGCAAAGTGCCAGCCCGAAAGACGATCAGAATGTGGTTCCCTGCAAACGATGCATCTGCATTTATTGGGAAAAAGGGCTCTAACGTCAAGAAAGTCAAGGAGGCGACAGGGGCCTCCATCATGGTTGACAAGAAGACGAAAAACAACACAGGGTGTTGTGCAATCTATCTTGAGGGAACTGCTACGCAGATCATGGACGCTCAAGTTGCTATTAGTAGCTTTATACAGGGGAGAAAGCAACAGAAAGAAAACCAGAATGGTGCGTCGAAACGGAATGGTGCGTCGAAATTCGCGGAGGAGAAGAAGCCAACCCCCCAGTCGAAAGAGATCTTCGACGCCGGTCGACAGACTCCTACTACCACATCGCTGTCTGTACCAGACTCAATTTCCATCATCTCGCCAGCACCTGCTGGGGAAGAAGATAGTGGCTTGACAGAGATCATGGAAACTGTCGACAAGGCTGAGAAGAAACTCATCCCAAAGCCAGAAGTTCCCAAGAACGGGACCAAGCCCATGGATTCTCTATTTCTCTTTGTTTGTCAACAGGCCTCTTGTCTCAAATGCAAGCCCGAGGCGTTCTACGAGTTCCTCCGTTCGGAAGATATCACCACTCTCAAGGATTTGCAGGAAGGGCTAGGCGATGATGACTTTCTCCAGGAAATGATTGAACATGGCTTGAAGGGGTTCAAGAAGAAGCTTTTCTCCAAGGCAGCCGCAGACGCGGGTCTCCTCGGTGGAATTGCGACTGTTGACAATGGGCTCAGCGAGCCCAAGAAAGCTTCGACAACCAATCAACCATCGCAGCTCCATTTGGAATTTGAGTGTCCGATCTGTTACGAGTTGATGGTGAAGGATCCGGTCATGGCCAGCGACGGGTTCACGTACGAGCGGCATGCTATTGAGAGCTGGTTCCGACGCCACAAAGACAAATCGGAGGGAATACCTTCTCCCAAGACGAACGTTCTTATGACAGACTTGAGGCTTATCCCAAACATACAAATGCGCAGCATGGCACGTGATTTTTCCGCACGAAGTCGAGAATGATCATGACATCATTACGGCCAAAGAGCCCGGGGAATTGAATCGGAACAGCTTATCCTCACGGTTGCGTTTCGTGCAGGAAAAGAAAAATAGGGGGAAACACATGCATGATTTATAACACTTTCTTTCGAGTATATGCTCGTTCGTTTCAGTAGACGAGAGCTGCCGTAGCGCGCTGAGGATATCGAGCATTGCACTTGTGATCGACGAACCTCGTTGTTCAGAGACACCGGTACAATCTATAGCCATAGATCGTCGGAAAAGTTTTTCCAAGGCCTCGCAGCCTCGTCATTCTTCAGTTGGTCGGTAGTCCCAGCAATGGCATGTTGAAGCACAACTCAATGCGTCTTGGGAAACCAAATTTGTGACATTCCATCGCCACTGTGTCAACTAGCTAGCTGGGGAGATCAGAACGAAACTCGGTGCTTCGGTCACGTCGCGGCTCTCGCACAACACACCTTGTTGCAAGAGTAATGTTCCTTCTGGAATCCACATCTTGGTATCTCATCACATTCCGAATCTTGGGAACAAAGATCCAAAGAAGAATGGACATGGCAATGGCAAACACAAGAGTAGATTGGACAAAGAATAGAGCAGGAGGGCTCTCCAACACCAAGAACATAACTGGCAAGCCAATCATGGAGACCTGAAGAACCCCAAACATGGCCAAGAAGATGTACTTGCTCTCGCTGAATTCATCGGCAATATTCCTGTTTGAACAAAGATTGGCGTGTTAGGAAACACGGACAGGTCTCCCTGCAAGATGACTGCCTTGTGGTACATACCGTGCATGGTAGGCTTGGACATTGGCCAAAACCAAGGCTGAGTAGTTGACCACTGCCAGTAGAGACAGGATGGCAAGCTGTGCACCACTCAAATTGGACCAGCATGTTCCATAGGAGCTGCTGCTGCTCTTATGCGCACGCTCCCAGCTAAGAGGATCAACCAAGGTCCATGTTAGAAGCAATACCAGCTTCAAAGTGATAATAACACAAAAGGGAACCATGACATCCTGTGGGGATATCTTGACCCTCTGCAAGTTGCCCGCTGCCTGAAATAGTTTGGAAACCCTCCACACTTTAGTGAATACCGCTGAAAAAGTTATGGAGAACCCCAGAGCTAGCATCCATGGGAACATCATACAGGCAACACTGCATCCCTTGCTGCTGGCCAAGGAGTCGTCAATAGAAAGAGGAAGGATAGATGCTCCCATAATGAATGTGCCAAAGCACAACACATGGAGAAAGAATGGCTGGGCTGCATTCACAATGGCCTTTCGAGCATTCTTGGCAACCCAAAGAGCACAAGCAAGGGATGCCATCATGACAAGCACACTGATAATGAAACCAAATGCTCGAAAGTGACCCAGTTGATGAAGGTTCTCCTCCTCCTGGACATCGATGGTGATGGTAGCACTGAAAATCTCACTGTAGAAGCAATCAGGATAGTCATCATCTTGTACTGACACAGTCAACAGGCTAGAGGTCACACCCACGGGAAGACTTTCTGTGCTGGCAATAAATGGCAATCTCATCTCTTCGCCTGGTGCTAGGTGGATCAATTGAGACTCAACAATAGGAGCTTCAAGCTGAATCCATGATGGGAAGCCCGCCACCCTTGTTGTGATATCCAAAACACCGTTGTTGATAAAGATTGCTTCACCCATGGCAACAGTCCCCTCTAAAGCCTCAAGTTGCAGCTCTGAGGAGTCAAAGTCACAATCTAGTGCTGTCTCAACCTCTTGCTTGGGAGCAAACAGGAGCAGGGTAAAATTGCCCACTCTATCCCATTTGTCATACATCACATAGAATGTTGTGGGTTCAGTATCCTCGGTCAAAACAATGTCGAGTTCTGATGTTCCTCTATGGCCAGGTTCTTGTTGTTGGATTTCCTTATGGAGAGCTGTCCAGTTGGCGTTGGTGAGGTTGGTGGGGGCTGCAGGATGGTGTCACTGACAAGATAAGTTTGATTTCTCCTGTCATCAATAAGGTCTCCTTCTCCGTCCTTGTCCCTGTGGACACGAAACTCTTCAAACCCTGTTCTCTCCGGATAGATCAAGTTGACGGCATCCTGGGTGATGACATAGATATTGAATTCGCCATCAACCACAAGCCCAAAGCTCCCCTCTGTCACTGTCCCATCCAGTCTGTGCAACAAACTGGACATGGAGTCAATTGACAGGTCAATGCCTGTTAAGCCAACATAAGTATCATTATAGTTGAAACCAAGCCATTCTCCTGTATAGTACACGGGTGCATGTGCTGTAACAATGGACAAACCTGGGTTGGCTTTGTCAGCATAAGGTTTCCCAATAGTGGCCAACTTCATTGGATTGTTTTCTCATAGATTCGGAATGACAACAGGCTCATTTTCATCGAAGCTAAAATTTGCTCCCACAACATTAATCAGATTGAAACCCCTCGGAACGAAGGAGGTCATGGGAGGATAGTAGCTGGCAGCACCACCCCAGGTGATAGAGTATGCAGCCACATAGAGCCTGTCAAAGAAACGTGTTGGTTTGTGAGGGCCTTCTGAACGTCCATTCTGATGATCTTTCCACCACATCGTTTCTTTGGAATTTCTGTCTACAAGCCAAGGCAGAATGTTTGACAATAGATCAATCATGGCCAAATCTGTTGATTTGTTGCCCACATGAGGTTCATGTCGCAGTCCCACAATTCGCTCCATTCTTCTGTTTGGCCGATCATCTGCCCAGGCCATACCAGCATCCAAAGTTTGTCCAATTTGTAGGCAGACCTCTGGCCTCCCAATCCAGGCTGTTGGCCAGAAACTCCAGACTGATGCCACTGAAGGTTTCAGGGTTGTATTTCATTGTTTCCGTCCAGGTCTCTCTCATGTATTCCACATCCTCCAAGGCACTTTGGAAGAGGGTTTGGATACTCTTGGAGGCCTCTCGAGTCACCCCGGCACCTCCAGTGATGCTGCAGATCTTGAGTTGCTTGTTTGTCAGGTTGGCCATCTCTTTTGCCATAGCACAGCCAAAGAATCCAAGAACTAGTAGCCCCGCCAACACAGGAGCTCCGGGCTTGTTATGAGGAGCAGGAGACAACATCATGAGCCAGTCCTTTTGGGCGGTGTATCGCAATATTGTGCGTGTTCGGCTTCTGCGGCTACAAGTTATCCCGCCTACCGATACCCAACCGCACTCTCACCCCCCTTATTACACACCCATGAGCTCGGCTTTCGGCTTGCCTTTGGCTCGCTCGTCACTGAGCTGCTTTCTGGTTCTATGAGCTTTTCTTCCAGGAGGCTCAGTGTAGATACACAAGAGCTGGGATGGAGAGCTCAGTCTGATGGAGATCTCCTTCCTCTGGTGTTGAAGCCACTCAACCAGCACTGCTTGCAATGGTTGGTGGGGCGCTGACTACCCTGGTACAAACCATGCAGGAACTACTCTACTGCAGGGCTAGGATGTACTCTCTGGGTTCACAGGTTACTATTCATTTACTTGGTTCTTCTTACTATGCTAGCTAGATAGATCAATACATCAATTCCTCGACAGGAACCCAATAACAGGATGGCTGCTTTTGGAGAGGCAATCCTGTACCTGAATCCTCTTTGGAGAGGTTCTGTTGATGTCTATCATACCCAACATATACATCCTGTATGCTATGATGCATTTGGGTACATAGGC